GGGTGCATTTCTATTCATATAGTTAACCGCTTTTGTATGTAGGGAAAGGTCTACATCCATTGGCTCTGGACGCGGAAGTCTGAAAGGACGTGGGGGTTGTGGTCTAGCGGGATGTTGGCCGAAAGTTTGGAGAATAGTGAATATATATATAGTGAAAACTTGGTTGTTGCCGTTGCTGAGGCACGTAGTACGGTTTAGATAAATATGGCTCAGGAATGTAAGCCAATTGTGGGTAAAATTCGTTGGTGGCCTTTTTAGGCGGAATAGGTGGGCGAAAGTCCTGATCTTTTCTAACGTGGGAATTATTATTGATCGCGTGATGCGAACGAAATTTCTGGTTTTCTAACTTAAGACATAAGTGAAGAGCTTGAGGGAGGTCTACGGGTTCTCTCATGCCAAGGAGCCTTGGCAAATCGCCATTCAGTCCTCGAATAAAAGTGTCAAGGGCTTTGTCACGATAAGTTCGTGTGAGTAAATGCATGGATTCAGCACCGATTTCCATGCAACCAAGTTTRTTAAGAATGAGAGATAGGTGCGAATATACCCTTTGGTAAAATTCCTGAATATTATGGTTACCTTGAATTAATGACGTCATTTCGTACTCTAAGGTACCTACGTCCCTTTTATCGGCGTAATGGAGAGTAAGGCATTGTGAAATAGCCTTCCATTCTAAAGGTGTGTTATATGATTCGTTGCCCACGATTTTGTTTCTTACTACGTTAAGGATACCGTAGTATTTTGGCGATCCYCTTTGAGGTTCGTATATTTCCAAAATTCTGTCCACGCTTTCTTCCCTGAACTGAATTCTCCTGGATTCCCAGAGAACCACGTCAGGGATTTTGTCAAAGTCTTTGATGTTGTTTGTCAGTGTAGGGTCTATAGTCACGTCAGCAAAGTTTGCGTTTGGATTAAGCACAGCTTGGACAATGTTTCGTCCTTCTTGTCTTAAAATGTTTGTGACCACACCACTTATAATATTGGTTAATTGTTCCAGATTCATTTCTCTAGAATTTGGAACAGGATGGGATGTTTGCGTATTGCCTGCGGTGGGTGTGTTTAGCACAGCATCTGATTGGTTGGCATAATTTTATTGGATATTTTGAGGATATTATTGTTTTTAGTTATATGTTCATCCTCTGGACGGTCCCTTTGGTGGTGAATCGCAGAGTTGGACTGTAGTTATTAGGAACCGGAGGGTCCCCCGTTAGGTGATGAATCTCGGCTCTTTCGTTCTTATAATTTATTGGCTGTACAAGCCGTTCTTATTTTGTTTATAGTTTATAATTCTCTGGAGGGTCTGGCCAACTCCTGAGTTGGCTACAGAATCGCAGAAGATTTAATTTTTATAAGCTGGACGGTCCCCCGTTAGGTGGTGAATCGTAGCTTTATATTTATTATTTTATTGGCTGTACAAGCCTGTTGTTATTCAACGTATTATTTGGGGTTAGTTAACATATAAATTTCAAACTTAAGCTTAATTAATTGTAATTTGGCAAATGTTTTTTTTTTTTATTAATGTTTTTAAATTATTCTCAAATTCCCTTGTTTTTTAATTATCACTTTCCGCTTTTTTCAAACGCTTTATAAATTTCTTAATCCGAATTAATGTTTTAATTTATTCTTAAAAAAAATTATCTCTGGTTTTTTAATTATTTCTTTCCACTTTCCACTTTTTTTAAAATTGCTTTATAAATTCCTTAATTTTTTAATTAATTAATTTAATATTTCTTAATTTATGCTTACTTATATCTAGCCTCCTGGCGCAAGGGGTGTCGTCCCGTTTGCTGTCCTACTAGGGTCCCTCGTTGCGCACGTGGTGGAGGGTGCGTTCCTTCCTATCGGATCCTAACGCTTTCAGTCCGGCGTAAGGGGACAGCTTCTCAACAGGATATATTTGGTCCTCCGACGTTATTATCCTTTGGGGCTCCGGTAGCCGCTTTTGTGTATTACTCGGTATTGTAATTTTTATTCAATCGCGTAGCCTTACTTATCTTCGCGCGTTGAAGCTGTCCCTCCTCGGGCACCAATTAAACTATTAGTTTTTGGCTTTTATTTTTAAAAAGGATAGCGGACTCGCGTCCGCGTCTTTATTATAAAAATGCTGTCTTAAGACTGAATAAAATTTTTACCTTAAGTCTAAATTAAACCTACGCTTGTACCGGGTAACGTTCCCTATAGTCAGCAGTTAATCGGATGCGCGTGTGAAGCCGCTAATATTGCTGATGCGACGTCAGCTATTGCTGAGTTTCGAGTTTCGTACTGAGTTGCTGACCGATAATGGGAACTGTCTGAAGTTCTGTGTTAACTTGTATATAACAAACTATCATAATATTATTAAAAGTATTAAATATATTACACTAGTGATAAATGTACATTAATCGTACATTTTATCATTTAAATCATATTATCACTTATCAGTAATAACATGTCCGCGCTGCTCATRTGTACATAAGTATGCTCGCACGACATTGGCACACAAATAATGCATACACAATTACATTAGATATGCGTTCATATGTAGATATGTCTCCCGCAAAAACTACAAACATTGCTTTACAAAAACAACAATCGTTTGAAAAAGCATCATACATACTTATATGCGTACATATGTAAATATGCGTATGACATTCCCACACAAATAATCCATACACGACCTACATATTTATATGCGATCACATGTCGATATGCATGTCACCCGCATAAACTACAAATATTGTTCTACAAAAACAACAAACGTCTCAAATAGCATCAGCAGCGTCACAAGTCAACATGGCAGACAAATAGTCGATTTGTAGAAAAGTACACAACAACAATATTTTCATTCATGAACGCAAGCGACTTTCCCRCAAATATAAGTATTCAAATATATTAGAATAAAATTGACAACACAGTTTATTTGTCCATTTTCAATGTCAAGAAATGTGCTAAAGAAAATATTCAATATTCCCCTGATTTATGTGTACGGTAAGTCCCGGTTATGTAGTATTTCGCTTAAATGAAAATCATCCCTCTTAACTGCCCTTATTTTGCTGCATCTCAGGGTTTTTGTTTTGAAATTTATAGAAATTATTGTTTTAAGTACCACTCGCTTAAGTATCCGCACTCGCCTATGTGCCATATAATATACTAGTTTCGACACAGTAACTGGATTTCCATTTTACATGTGCTTTCCATCTGTGATGGTCTTACCGTAATCCTACATCAGAGAACGTTTATCATAGAGAAGGTTCACGTTTCAAATATCGTAACTTTTCGAAGGGGTACTCGGCAGAGATGAGCCAGTCTCACCACAGACAAAKTATAAGCGTGTTTCCCCACGAAAATAGCAAAATTGAGCATTTTCATTGTTAAATGAGAAAAATAATGCACATTCCAATGTAAACAAATTCACGCCTAGGGATTCGTTTATCTTCTATGCTTAACCGACTCGGCACGTAATTATATACATACATTTAATCCGTATATATTTAGTATCAAAGCATATACTTAGTATATAAGTACATAAGTATGTATGTATGTATATTAAAATTTATCTACATATGTATTTCATGATGATTCCATAAAATCATTAAAAATATATAATAGAGTAAAGTTTGTATTATTATCCAAATAATTGATATAAGTTAAGGTAGTTAGTTTTAAATTTATACATTCACCTTAAAAGTTTTGATATCATCTTAAAACTTCTAGCGGTCGCACATGCGCTCATATACGTAAATATAATTATGTGTGCATGTAAACAAATATGACARACCATGCACGTAATGTTTGTAAATTTGTCGACATGCAACATATGCATGTAAATATGTACACTCAATGCTTCATGAGAAATCTCCGTTCATACGGTCAGAAAATGGCGAAGCTCACTTTTTGTCAAAGAGTCAATGTGGCGACAATGCGTCACAACATTGTATTGTTGGTAGAAAATCCGAGCTGTGCGGAAAAAAATAAGAGAACGGCCGTCGATTGTCACCGCTTCTCTTGCCGCTGTACAGCTTCGCCTACCAACCAGCGTAAATATGTATGTTTGTGTGTGAGCTTCCATACATATCGAGGCAGATTTTTGCAAGCCCCGTAAAAATATTTTTTATATTCGTTGACAAATATAGTCAATCCCGGTTATGTACAACAATCTAAGATACAGATTTTTGTGGTTTCTTAAAAATAAAAATATAATATGGCACATAGGCGAGTGCGGATACTTAACCCATTAGCTCCTAATGCTGCCATTGGGAACTTGTACAAATAACGAGATTTTATCGATAATGAGGCATATATCGAACATCCGATAACACACTCTCACATTACTATGCTTATAATCAGCTGTTCTTGATGATCTCCAATGATCACACGTGCACAGTAGAAAGCAAATATTCTCGGAAGTGGTACATTTTTCTTTTCTTCGGGTTTTGTCGCAAATTTTTCTTATTTTAAAAAAGTAATACGTAAGTAAATAAAATAAATAGTTTTGTATTGAAGAAATTGCATAGGTTTCACATTTCCGATGAATTTGCAATGTTCCCAATTGGGAGCATTGGTCCCTATGTGCATCAAAATAGTGTAAATATTTTTCGTCGTCTTTTTAGGCTGAAATTGTTATATACCAAGTATGATCAGCCAGAGAGCTCTAAAACTTCGTGAAATTTTAAGATTTTAGAAGAACTTCTCGAAGACGCAGAGCTGGGTGATGAAAGCACTATTGATATAGTGCAACTGCCACCAGATGCTGATTGTCTGACTGATTGCGAAGATGTTGATGAAGACAATCTCGATGAAGTAACAGAACTGAAGGACGTACCTGGCGAAGTAGAAATTCACTTTACGGAAAAAGAAGAAGATATCAACTTCACACCAAGTACAACTTCAAAACGACGAAAGCTGGACAAAGAAAATTCAGCCAGCAAAACTAGCTCACCACGTTGGATTCATACTGATGCGACCTACAGCCAAAATTCGCCATCCTCTGAACGTTGCGAAAATAGTAAAGCAAGAATTCGGGAAAAATTTCAACAAAAAGAGCTAATCGAAATTTTTGTGTTCTTTTTTGACGATATGATAGTCCAACACATAGTTGATGAAAGTATGCGCTATGCACACCAAAATAGTTTTCATGATTTTTCCCTTTCTTCAGAGTGTTTTAGGAAGTTTTTAGGTATATTGATTTTTACATCATACCACAGTTTACCATCTGAAAAGATGATTTATTAAAGAAAACCAATACGTTTTGGGTTAAAACAGTGGATTATGGCCTGTGGAGAAACTGGGTTTTGTTACAATATTGAACCGTATCAAGGAAAAAAAGATCCTGCTGAGAAGGATTTGATAGGTGTAGGAGAAAAGGTCATAACTTCAATGGTTAATCATCTGGAGAATCCTGAAGACCATGAACTATATTTTGAGAATTTCTTTTCAAGTTTCAGACTAATTTCACTTTTAAGTAAAAAAAAAAAGTGCGTGCTACTGGAACAGCCAGATTCAATCGTCTCAATAAGTGTCCGATAAAAACAGATGACGCTATGAAAAAAGAGCCGCGAGGCTGCTGATTACAGATTTGACAAAAATAATGAAGTACTAGTTGTCTCGTGGAA